TGACTTTACATATTGCTATTGCCACATCATCAGTTTTTCATCATGCCCAAGTTGGCTTTCAAGCCAGAGGAGGCCATTCATGTTGATATCTACTGTTCTGTCTCAATACATGGATACATGGTCAACTTACAACATGACTTCACTTGAGGACACCTCCCAGGATGAATCAGCTCATCATCCTATAGCCCTCAAAGAGCTGATATCAAAGTTTACTATGTTTGGGACAGGCCAGTATTTCTCAATGTGAAAGCAGATCAGTGTGAAAGCCACTTGGGCATGATGTGAAAACTGATGATGTGGCAATAGCAATATGTAAAGTCATGGCAATCCTTCAGCCATATCCCCACATGAACTTATTATGTTTTGAGATAGGACAGTAGGTATCAATATGAAAAGCTTAGAATAGCCTTTCCTAATGTGAAAGACAACTTGTGCATGATGTCAAAAACTAATGCTGCAGCACTGGCAATATGTAAGATCATGTCAATCCTTCAACCTCATCCCCATAACCTAGACAGGGCCAAGGACACCATAACCTACATGTCAACTACAAACTTTTGTAGTCTAAAAAAGCGGACACTACACACTTTTTCAAATGAAAAAGCAGACACTACAAACTTTTCCAATAAAAAAGCGGACACTACAAACTTTTGTTTTTCCCATGATACAATAGTTGTAGCCCTTTCTTTTAGCTTTCTAAATATACTGAAATCATATTGTTTGGTTTTGTTTTCATGGAGAAAAATGCAAAAAACAAAAAAAAACGCAACACTTTTGGGATTCCTTTACCTCATATCTCCACAACGGGAGCACTTCAGAACATAATTCGAACAGATTCAGGAAGCTACAGTGTAGGGCTACAATTTTTGTTTTTGACCATTTTTGGTAATTGGTCATGTGACCATCATCCCAACATCCCATTACATGGACCCTGATAGGTAAAATCATTCTCCGCTTGGTTTTCTTCACTTTTTGGTCAAACCAGGTGATATTTCCCTTTTGGGATGGAACCTGAAGTGGACCCTGAAGGCAGTGCCTGATGTTCTGTACACCATTTTTATATATATATTCAATTTTTCCACTGTTTTTCTGGCTATTTTTGGATATATTACCATATTTGGAACTGGACCCTGGACCCTGACAATGTTACCCAACATGATGATCAGCAATGAGCCCTAATTTTTCCTCATTTTATTGCTATTTTACATTTGGAAATGCACCCTGGACCCTGAAAGGTCAGCTGCCGCTAAAAATGAAATATTCATTGAAAGCGCCAGGTACACATATGAAAAGTGCAATGAAATCTCCTAGGAATAAGAATGAAATATCCATTGAAAGCGCCAGGCATCCAAATGAGAAGCACAATGAGATATCCTGGGGTTAGCAATGAAATATCCAATGAAAGCACCAGGTATATCTATGAAAAGTGCAATGAAATATCCTAGGAACAAGAATGAAATATCCATTGAAAGCGCCAGGCATTCAGATGAAAAGCACAATGAAATATCCTGGGGCTAACAATGAAATATCCAATGAAAGCGCCAGATATATATATGAAAACTCCAATGAAATGTCCTGGAGCTAAGAATGAAATATTCATTGAAAGCGCCAGGCTTTCATATGAAAAGCAAAATGAGATATCCAGAGATAATGAATGAAATACTGCAGGAAATCACAATACAATATTAATGAGATCACTTAGGCCATTTAATGAAAAAACCAAATGAAATACAGAGGGAACTTAATGAATGAAAATACTAGACAAAATAATGAGTTGTCTCATTGAACCTCTAAGCATTATACACATCGCCTTCCAGGCATGTGTCTGGTTTTTATCATAAGAGTGTATACCACTAGTGTACCTGGTTCGATGGGCGGGCTACAGTCCTCTTTACGACACCTGGGAGCCTAAGAGAGCTTTGACGAACGCGCCGGAGGTCGTCTCAAAATGGAGAAGGACTCAAGGCAGCGGCCAGGGGTAGGCATGGCGTCGGATTTAACTTATTACGCTGATCGGAGTCGCGATCCGACCGATTAGCGTTGTCACATGTTTCCTTTATCTCTTTCTTCCCTCTTTTCTTTCTTTTCTTTCATCTATCCTCAACCCCATCGTTACACTTCTTACGCGGACTATCAGCAATGGACTGCCTTTACACCAACAGTGATGGAGAGGTACCGACATCGGGCCGAGAGAAAATGATCGCGGGCGAATGGATCGCCTTGAATGCTTCAGCAGGCACGATTCCTTCCACAGAGGTATTCGAACAGGCTTTGGAGGATAGGGCATTTCTTCTCCCCGAGCTAGCGGCGCGACCTACTAGTTGGTCTTGGACCAAGCAGCCCACCTGGTATTCAGATAAGTACCATTGGGATGCTTGGAACGTCGTCGACTGCTTCGCTGATGAGAACGACTCCGTCCCATGGTTCTTTAGCGGAGGCAATTCGCCATGGGAGAGTGCCAGCGGGGAATTTCACTTCGACCCCGACATGCGCGCGAAGGCGGAGGACTCGCTCTCCAGACTCTGGCTATGCATCGAAGCTATCACCTCTAACCCACCCTTCGCCAGTGGCACTCCCCACCCTGCCAAATTCAACTACCTTCTGTTATCTGCTGCATGGAATTCGGCGCGGGGTGCAGCAACGCTCATGTCCGATGCGAAGGGACGCGCTCTCGAGTATCTCGGTTTCGTCAACTGGTGGACTTCATCAGTCGCAAACTGGGAGGACCCTCTTCAACAGTGGATGATTGACTACATAGCGGGTTTTAAGCTGCGCGACCTGAAGAAAAGAGGAGTACTTCTTGATCTTTCTAGGCAGTGGAGATCACTGAACATCGGGCACCTGCTAGCAGAGGACGTTCCAGTCTACTATTTTTGGCAGGACGATACCGACGATTTCCCTTGTTTCACGCGGCTGTCCCCATCGATTCTACAGGCATATCATGACACCTGCAGCTCCGTCGACAGAACGGGAGTTTTTGGAGAGGAGATGCTGGGCTTTCAGGACGATATCAAGTTGATTAGGCGCTACGATGAGTTTTTCCAGCTACGTCGTACACCTGACCACATCACCTCCCCAGCCCCTTCCGCCATACCTCCCAATGCAGTAGTCTACATCTGCGACTTCGAAGGCTGGTCAGCCCGCCGGATATCGGATCCCGTTCTGGTGAAAGAATACGCGGACCGTTATCACTTTTGCATAGAAGTCGACGACCGCGACACCTACGTGACCATTTGGCGATGGAAGCCACGACGGAATGACGTTGGCGGCAGACAAAGGGCAGGCATCCTGGGGCCAGGTGTCAATATCGAAGCAAGAAGAGGGGACCGGGAAATCCGTGAAGTGTTCAAAAGCGTCCACGCTCCGACGGGTAAACGTCAGTTTGACGAGTGGGGCCGTGTTACTTTGGCCAGCCGCTTGGGGGACGTGTACGACGATTTCCAGGGGAGTCCCATGGTCGCTGACCCCAGTCCAGCCCAAGCTCTTTTACCTCGCCCTCATTGGGTGCCTTCTTCGCACCCAGCTCTAACAATTCCTCATCCAACGTCACCTATGATGGCTACAGCAAGTGGGGTTCAAGCTATGCTAGCTTCACCGAGCCGCTCTGGTTCCAGGGCATCTTCAGCAGCACAACGCTCTCGGAGTTCAGGGGACCAAGATTTTCGTCGGCGCTCAGCTTCGCCTCAACGGCGCCACTCTCATTTAGACATCGCAATGCCCAGTCAGCGAGCAGCATTTGTAGAGGAGTTGCGGAAATTGGCGGATCAGTATTCCATCACGACTAAGCCTTGGGTGAGTAAGAAACCCTTGACGTGGAACACTGACTTCCTCGAAGTCGGATACCTCCTCATACCGGACGCCAGGGCGCAAGCACGTCTGCGATACTGGGCTGTTTCTGCTCGGGAGCTCTCCACGATGACAACCCTCCTCCTCAAAGCTGTCTGTCATGGCCTGCCATTTAGCATTGGTGTCAAAGTAGAGGATTTCGGCAGGTTTAAACCGGAAGACGTCTCTGACACAGATCGCTTAGTGGGAAAGCCTTCGTCGGCAGTCGAGGCTCCGTTTGCTTACACGGCACAGGGCGCGTTACGAGCGTACTACATGAGTCGCGTCAACGACATCATTCGCAGACCGCATGCCCGTATCTTGATAGGCTTGGGGGGCCCTGAAGCTTGGTTGGGTCGCAAATGGGGCGGCATGGAGCTTGTTGCGCAATTCATGGACGGCCCTTCGCCAGACGTATACTTACACCGCCGCGGATACATCGATTCAGACGACGAACACCCCATGTTTCTGTACACGGATGAGATGACCCCTCAGGAGATTGACATACTTTTCGGCTGCATTCGTAATGATAGTGAGAGGGATCGATCCCTGTATCCTTCAAGGGACATCCTGGACGAGGGTTGCTTCTTTTGGACAGGAGAATGGGACGCCCGCATGGACGACATGTTCAACGACTTGACGAAAGACATACAACAGGGTTCAGCTAAATTCAGGACCCCCGGAATGTGGAAAGACTATTTCCGACGATTGAATCGGAGCCACAGGGGGTCAAAGGAACGCCTTAATCAGTTAGTCCCGGACATGCTGGCTCGCCTACATTCCAGGATCATCGATGGCTTTCCGTTGGACTGGAACAAACGGCGTCTTGCGCACATTGAGTTGCCCGAAGAATACAGACCACGTCAAATCGGAAATAGGGGGGCTCTGTAATGGGTAGGATTACTGGTTGACCCATCCATTCCCTTCTTACTGGTATTTCCGATTCTACGTAGTCACTCAGTCACAGTAGTCACGCTTACATACAATTCCCTCAGTCACACGTGTAGTAAGGTATCTTTTTAACCATCATTCTTTTCACGGCTTGCAGCCCTCGAGCATCGTCTTCACGACTCGACTACACGCGTGATAGGGATATAGTATCAAGGTCAGTAGCATAGTGATTCATTCGAGGAGAGCTCGTGACTCTCCAGTGGTACTGATACTTTTCTCTCTCTCTCATCAATCCTTAAAGTCTTGCTACACTTTCCTGCGGCTTTCCGAGGAAAGAGAGTACGTCTACGCTCGTGGCATTCCAGAGCATCAGTAGCGTCTCGCGTAGTAAGATTGACTCTTGTCTCAGATCTGACCTTCATCAGAGGTCTATACACCAGTGCAGCAACTCTGTCACACCGAAAGCTCGCCAGACTCACTCGTCGTTGTTACTCGGATATCGTGAATAGGCGTTAATCCTCTAACAGGTTCCTACAACCGGCCTCGCCAATTAATAACTGTATTCCCCTCAACTTATACCTATTACTAACTGTTTTAATGCATTGTCTGGAGGGCTGTAATGTCTGATCGTGCACGCGATTGATGGGGGATGTCGTTTGGTCGATGTGGACTTGGGAGATGGGTTGGCGTTTGGAGGGGGAGTGGCGAATCGCTTATTCGATGTCGGTGTTGACATAGTTTAGCTGGGGTGGTAGGTGGTTGTGGCTGAGATTTGTGGTCAGAAAGAGCCACATACCTTGTGAAATTACGCGACGCAGCCCGTCACCCATCAACAGTTCCTCCACATCGAGAACGAGATGGAGGCCCCACGTCATTGCTTTTGAATAACCCCCCTGCACCTCCTCGACACTACCTTCCTTTGTTGTCGCCTGTCACCGGGTGGCTGTGGTCTTCTGGCTGTGTTCATGGCACCGTAATACCATGAGGGAGAATGACCGGTGGTGGTCGATTTACCGGAATTGATGTGTCCGATGGTGATGACACTAACGTGAGTCTTCTCCTTTCCCGTTTTGTTGCAGGGCGTCTGCACCCACTGCCGTCATGGTTTGCCCCTCTACACGCTCAGACGAGTCGCACTCCTATAAGCCCTAATCTGCACCTGACCTCCTTGAGATGTCTGAAGGGCTCGGATTGGTCACTAAATCAGACTATGCACTTTAGACATAACATTGACACTCACCGTACCTGGGCCATTCGAGCACGTGGTGGGCAGAGGAGTTGAACATTTCGCGCAGGCTGTTACTTAAGGTCATGATCTTTCAAAGCTTGACACTCGATGATCATAGCCACCTGAGATTCCGTGTTCATATATTGCCCGCTGGTGTAGTGGTAACTATCGATAACTGACTAGAGTAACTTAGTAGGTAACTATTACCGCAAGCCCTGGAGTACGAGTCCGGCTCAATGCAGACATTTAATTTACAATACGAAATAGAATACAATGCTTACTCTACACTACAAAATGAAATGGACACTTCAAATCCTTAGACTGACACGTTGTTTCCTATATTAGAAACTATGACGATTACCCCCCAAGAAAAAGCCTATTCTTCTTTTAGAATATTTATCAAGCTACCTTGTACCATAGAGTTCACATAGAGCTATGTACAACTACGGGAATTTGACTCTATCAAACTATATGATGATACAGCACAACCACGCTAAGCTATAGACTTAATTGTAGTGATATGTATTTGTCGGTGCATCTACCACAAACTATATATCAGGGGGCTCTCGATGGCGCTACCAGCACTATCACGTCTACATACCACAATATCGCAAGTCCATTTTTTCCTGATGTAAGGCAAAAAAGCAGAAATACAAACCTACTTACCTCAATGGGAGGTTGACCATTTTGTAAACGGTTTCATGGAGCTTGTTCGTGGAATGTGTAGGTATCGAATCAAGTCCATGCTCATGTGAAACGGACCACAGGAAGGTACTGAACAATTGGTGAGCATAAGGCAAAAAAGCGAAAATACAAACCTACTTACCTCCATGGGAAGTTGACTGTTTTGTAAACGGTTTTGTGGAGCTTGTTCGTGGAATGCGTAGGTATTGAATCGAGTCAATGCTCAAGCAAAATGGACTGCAGGAAGGTACTGAGAAGTTGTGAGCATAATGGTGAATATTCTGCATCAAAAGGAACGACTCACAAGTTGAGTCACGGAAATTTCCGAAAATGACGTACTTCCCTTGCGGGCTACCTTCAAAATGGAAGGTAGCCCGCAAGGGAAGTACGTCATTTTCGGGCAATGCGGTGACTCGTCTTTTTGCCCTTATGCCAACCTCTGCCCAGGACCTTCCTGTGGCTCGATTCGCTTCAACGTAGACTCGTTTGGATAGTGCTTCACGTCCCGAAAACGCTCCGAGAAACCGTTTACGAAACCGTCAACTCCTCATGGAGGTATGTCTGTTTGTACTTTCGTGTTTTTGCACTTCTGCTAAACTCTGCCCAAGGCCTTCCTGTGTCTCGATTTCCCTCAATGTAGACTCGTTTGGATACTACTTCATGTCCCTAAAACGCTCCGACAAACCGTTTACGAAACCGTCAACTCTTCGTGGAGGTATGTCTGTTTGTATTTTCGTGTTTTTGCACTTCTGCTAAACTCTGCCCAAGACCTTCCTGTGTCTCGATTTCCTTCAACGTAGACTCGTTTGGATACTACCTTACGTCCCGAAAACGCTCCGACAAACCGTTTATGAATCTGTCAACTCTTCATGGAGGTACGTCTATTTGTACTTTCGTGCTTTCGCACTTATGGTGAACTCTACCCAAGACCTTCCTGTGGCTCAATTTCCTTCAACATAGACTCATTTGGACACTACTTCACATCTTGAAAACACTCCAACAAACTGTTTATGAATCCATTGACCCTTTGTGGAGGTACGTCTGTTTGTAATTTCGTGTCTTTTGAACCTATTATGAGTCCTTACGAGTTTACGAGTAAGACTCATTCTTTATCAACTGAGGACTTAGGCAAATTTTTCATTCATTGATTGATTCATTTACCTTTCATCACCGCAGGAACCTTTTCCCTTAAACAGAAGAGCAGCCATAAAATCAGGAAAAATGGTAAAAGAATCAGCAAAAAATATGTAAAAAATCGGAATATTGTTTAGTAAGGTGGGGAGGCTGTGTTCAGGGTTCAGGGTCAATATCTAAATATAGAAACCACCTAAAAGTTGCCAGAAAATCAGAAAAAAATACCCAAAAATTAAGAGTGATCTTCTCTGTTGCCATGATATTGAAGGGGCTGTGTCCATATCCAAATATGGAAAATCAAGACAACTATGTAAAAATATTGTCATATTATGCAATGTGACTATATCTTGAGACCAGCTTTCTTGCTCTTTGAGATATTGGTCAAAAATGCATGACAATTTCCAAAAAGTGTCCAATTTTTTTCAGCATTTTGTGTTTTTCTCAATGAGGAATGGTCTGCATGACATTATTTATATATATCTATAAAGGTAAGGAAAGGGGCTACAATTGTTGTTTATGGAGCTAAGTGAGAGGCTGTGTTTCTGATACCGTGGGAATTTTAACCCAAAAAAGGACATCACAAATATATAGAGCATGCTATTATAGGTCACAAAATATAACTAACCATCCTCTTTCCTGAGATATATGCAAACAGGACTGTGGGAATATTTTACCATAAACAGAAAAATAGTTATAAAATTGGGAAAATTTGCTATAAAAAGAAGAAAAAAAAGAAAAAAAGAAAAGAATAGCACACATTGTTGCTATGATATTGATGGCTAGGCTCAGAGCTCAGGGTCTATTTGCAAATATAGAACAAAACTCAGAAAATCATAAAGTGATTACATGACCAATTTCCTAATATTAAATGTAGAGTCCACAGAAAGGACTCATACATGCCATGCAAAGCACTGGCCCACACCCACAAGTGTTAAACTCTGCCAAGACCATCCTGTGGCTTGATTCCCTTCAGTGTAGACTTGTTTTGATACTACTACATGTGTGCAAGTAGTAGAATAGCAGTGGGTACTCTTCACACCTTTAACACCAGTCTGTTCAATGGTGGCACCCCTGCAGCACAGTTGATGGTAATTGAATCCATGTGCTTGGATCTTGGCGCTTAGCGTGCGTCCAATGAAGAGGAAATGGTGGGATTGGAGAACCCAGTGAATTACTCCACAAGACGAACATGGTCAAAGTGTTTGGACTGGCCAAGAGGACAACAGGTGCATAGAGATGGCATGGTGAAGCTGGCATATTGCTCAATGAGACAATTGTGGTAGATATGTGGCACTTGAATTGTTTGGATTGGCCAAGACAACGATGAGTGTGCAAAGGAGACAGATATGCAGTAGATATGTTGCACAAATCGTTTGGACTGGCCAAGACGAAGAGCGCTCAGCAAAACACCAGAGTGCACCACAAAGAGAGGGTGCTGTGGCAAAGAGAAGGTGCCATGGGAAATTGAACTTGAAGAGCTAGATTTGATGATGCACGAACATTTCCTGATCATTTGATGGGGGGAAGTTTCGTGCGTCATTGGAAAATACTACCGAAGTTGCACAGCCTCAGTACAAATGCTCAAGATTCTATGATGCATGAACATTTCCCGATCATTTGATGGGGGGAAGTTTCATGTGTCATCGGAATCTGTGATGCCAAGAGGACAAGAGATGAGAGATGAGATCTAAAACTTACCCCCTGAGATCTGCCCCCCTGCATTTGTATATTGTGGCAAAGATTGTTTAAAAAGGAAATAGATCATGTCATCTACTTCAGAAATACATGCTATGGCTCAATTAGAGATTCTGTGCACCCTATAACATCCCAAAATCAACATTGAAATGACTCCCACTTATTTGTGAATATTTGTTACTGTTTAACCTGTATATCAATAGTCTTTTAAGTATCAGCATTGATCAGATGTAAAATTTATCATCTATTTCGTTTTTGCAACTGTTTATTTGTGTTTGTTTACCAGGAACGTAATATCACCATGACCACGGAAATGAGGAGTACCCATCACAAAAGAAATCATGTCATTTGGATCAAAACTCGCTGAGTTATACATGAATCTGTATTTATTACCGAAAATGGTAACTGATCTGAGATCTACTACAGTCGCGGACAGCCAAAGTCAACCAAGTTGATATCTCGGGAAGGACTAAATATTTTGACATTCTGACTTCAGATTCGAACTCAGGATGTGAAAATACGTCCAAAAACACCTCTTTGAAGTTTTTCCCACGAGAAATTGGGTTGGCCAAAATTTTGGACTACTTTTGTCATCCAGTAAGGCTCTTCAGCGGCTCTTAAGACCCCCTTGGCAGGTTCCCAATGCCGGAGGTGACCGAAAAATTTAGTGGCACTTGCCAAACATTGTAATTCTGATTGGAAATCAGTAATATACAATCTGCTAAAGGTGGGAAGAGGAGGGGGGTCAAAAGGACAGGGTTCATTGAGGGTCCATGGGGGTGGGAAGACCCTGAATTGCCATTTTAGGTAGTTTAAAATCATTTTTTTCTACAACAACGGCTCATCAGAATTTTCCCAAAGTCCAGGATCAGATGCAGAACTAAAAAAGGAGTCGATTGCACTATTTTTCATGATTTTAGGGGTCCATTTGAGGGCCGGCCAATATTTTGGGGGTAAAATTTCTCATTTCATCGATTTTGAAAAATCGGCTCATGGAAATCGAAGCATTGAGTCCTAATCTTCACGTTTCTGCAATAAAAAGTACTATTGAAGGTTGTGCAGGGTCCTCACATCACAATCACAAAATTAGTTGACTTTGGCTGTCCGCGACTGTATGATGCACGAAACTGTCCCCCATCAAGCGATCGGGAAATGTTTGTGCGTCATCGCTTCTTGAGTTCCAAGCGTTGCCTAAAGAAAAATGTGTAACTTTACCAAATCAAGTCCAATTCAGATGAAATAAAATGCAGAAAAAATGTAAAATTTCAGGGATCATACCTGTATACAATTCATTATATAATAAGGTCAAAGTACAAATAAACATACTTTTTCAAAGAAGAATCTGAAGCTCACCAACATAAAATCTAAAATAAATGAAATAAAACACCAAGAAAAATACAGTTTGTTTTTATGTATATTATGTAATAAAAGCTATGTGCACAAATAGATATATGTTTGCACAAAATCAAGCTAGTGCAAGCTTTTTCAAATGAAGAAGTAGCAATAAATTGGCACAGAAATTAGAAGAAAATGGCTGATGGTGCTCACTGTTGGTGACAACATTTGAAAACACTCTCAGAGTCTCTGGTAAATTTCCGTATATGGCACTCAGCATTTCTCCAACTGAAAAATAGCAATTAAATGGCAGAAAAAATGGAAAACAACTGAAGAATGGTGCTAACTGTTGATGTTGATGTTAGGACTGTTTCAAGGGTCCCAGGTGCATTTCCTTATATGGAAATTTATTCAACAATTGCCAGAAAATAACATGAAAATCAGAGAAAGTTGGAATATGGTGCTCATTGTTAGCAATGATGTTATGAGTCCTCTGAGTTTATAAAGACACTAGTTTGTTACTCTCTGATCTCAAGGATTTTTTCAGTACTTCTAACACTGAATCTTGCCTTTCTTCCCATAAGATTTGATGGTTTGATGATGTTGTCAAACATTTGTTGAAAGGAAAAATAGCGATAAAAACAGAAGACAAATCAGGAACAAATGGGGGACAATATGCATTGTTGATGACAATGTTGGGGACCATTTTCAGAGTACATGGCATATTTTCAACTGAGGTAATGTGCACTTTTTGAATCAAAAAATGGCAATATAATAGTAGAAAAATCAGAAAGAAATTCAAGGAAGATGCTCACTGTTTGTGCAATACTGGGGAGCATGTTCAGGGTCCAGAAGAAAATTCCATACATAATAATCTAGTTAAAAATAGCTATAAAGGACTGGAAAAAATTAGTGAAAAATGGAGCATAGTACTTATTGTCGCTTTCAAGGTAGGGACTCTCTGTAAGGTCCAGTATTTTATATACATGGAAATATACAATTTGTCCAATAAAAAATAGCAATAATATATATATATAATGGGTATAGATCTGATGGGCTTTCAGGAGGTGGTCACATGACTAGTTTCCTAAATAATAAAAAATGTGAATGCTGTGGTGCTGCATTGTGGCTTCCTGAATATAAAAAGGACTCGTATCTGCCATGCTTGCAATGGCCCTCTTACACAAGTCAACATATGCAGTGCGACGACTTTTGGAATGGAGACTCGCTTCTTTGTAGGCCTGGATATGGCTCTGAAGAAATGCTAAGCACGCGCCTTTTGCCCAGCCTTTCTTCAGGGTGCAGAGTAGAGGCCCTGACTCCCTAAAACGGAAAACCATAAACAAAACAAAAACAAAACCCATTTATCCCGACCCACCATGAAGCGCCAGAGTGATCAGTGGCCGCCATACTTTCGCGATGAAGGAGGATATAAAAAAAAAGGTATGTACTCGCAGCTTGGTATCCCTATACTATGTAATAACCGTTTCTGCTGTGGGAAGGAAGCCCAGAAGCACGTCGCGCCTCACATAAAAACGTCAAACTCTTTTTCCTTTCACCTTCCAACTTTGATCTCCAACGTTCAATGTTTACTCCCTCTTTCGACATCCTCTTCCTCTACGATGGCACGGCTACCTCACAACAATGCGCCAACCAATGCAGGCGCCTCCTTGGCGGACAGCAGCTGTAAGTTCATCACTCGAAACCTCACCACCCACATAACCTTTCCCTCTAGCCATCGAAGATCTTTTTTCTGGCCTCCACATCTCCCCTGCTCAAGCTCGGGGCATCGTCATCGCTTTGCTTAGGATCTCAAACGGTGATTCGAATGCAAACGCCCCAGCCACGGTTGGCGAGGCGAGATCAGGAATCGCGCCTGACGATTTTGAAGTTCTACCACCAGTCAGCAACGCCGAGGCTTCCAACCCCGTCGCTTCTAGCCCTGCCACCACTGATTGGTCCACCACCATCGTGGTGTCTCCTGCTGGTGACGAGCTTGATCATTTACTGGCCGACGACGTTATTCTCGTCTCCTCACGCTTGTCTCCTCTCAGTCCATATCCCGTGCGTCCTTTAGCTTCCCGAGCATCCGCTGCTCCTGCAGTGGCCATGGCTCTCGTTGCTAGCCCAGCTGGCAACAGTCGCACTGAAGCAGTAACAGATGCCGACAGTGCGTACCTCGACGCGCCTGCTGTGAGCTACACTGACAATGCAATGACAGCATCCGCAACTCTTGTAGATCTCGCCAACCTCACTGCAGCTGTCACAGCTACGGCCCTCAGTTCTGATGATGGTGAAGAGGATGTTGAAGACAACGGCGGTTTGTACCACATTCCTGCCAGCACTGAAGCCGGCCCTTTCTACATGGTCACCCGGGGATTAGAAATCGGAATCTTTGCAGGCTGGTGGGTTTTTTCCAACCTTCGTTGTACGAAATCATTCACAATCACGTTTCAGGGGCAATACCTCTCAGCTTGTCACTGGCATCTCCAATGCAGTTTTTTCGCGCGTGCCAAGCGTTCATGAAGGCCATATCCGGATGCAGCAGGCCATTGCATCGGGGTTCGTTAAGCAACTACACAAGTGACGGTACAGTGTTGATCCATCTGTATCTTTCATAGTAGAATTTTCATTGATCTTTTGATGTCTTTGTCGTACACCCATGAATATACTGCCCTTGCCTTTCACTACTACCTAAGTGGATGTGGAACTGTAATTTTTATTGAAGGAATGACTCCATCTCGTACTTGTGCTGCTTTTATCGTGAAGAAAGACAGATATTCTAATGGACCAAAAGCCCTCCACGAATAAAGAGTATCTTTGAGCATACTTTACTACGAATAACAAGTATCTTTGAGCATTCTTGACTTCCTAATATCTTAAAGCAGAAATTTTGAGATTGCGGTTTATGAGAGTAGGAGGGAGTCTGTCGCGTCGAGTACGTTGATTGTATTTGAGGTTGAAGGTACATCGGTGATATGTAAGCCTCCACTCACAGTTGTTTAATAAATCTTCCAAAAATCTTTCATCTCTGAAAATTACATGGTTCAACTCAGTTATTTCGCAGCTTCCTGAATGTCTTATAATCCAGTACACTGAGTTTCATGGCATTGAAGGAGGACATAAAAGTCGACGAAAGTGTCAGACAGATATTCTAATGGACCAAAAGCCCTCCACGAATAATGAGTATCTTTGAGCATGCTTTACTACGAATAGCAAGTATCTTTGAGCATTCTTGACTTCCTAATATCTGAAAGCAGAATTTTGAGATTGCGGTTTATGAGAGTAGGAGGGAGTCTGTCGCGTTGAGTACGTTGATTGTATTTGAGGTTACAAGTCCTCTGAGTTTACGAAGAGACTCATTTATTTCCCCTGGATTCAAGGTTTTTTTCAGCGCGGTAACGCTGAAATTTGACTTTCTCCCATGAAAGTGATTTCTTCCCACAATCAGCTGCCTGCTCAACATTGACAACTTTGCCAGTCTGCTCTACTATTTCTTAGTTATCACCTGCTTTTAGTCCTATCCATGTTGTCATTGATGTAGATGGTAGCTAATGTATTGCTCTACTTGGCTGTCAGACTCTAATATATGAATATATTGCCTCCATTTTCACATTTATGTAACTATACTTCTTTACATTAAAGATATAACAATTAAGGTCATGACAACTTTTGTGGCATATTTTTACAGAGTGTGTGGGTATCCTAATGAGCCCAAGGCTATGCAAAATGAGCCATGAGAAGGTCCTGGGCAGTTGGTGGGTATGAGTGCAAAAAGACAAAAATAGAACGTAACATACATCCAAGAGTGCTCAACTAGTTCATAGGCAGTTTTGGGGAGTCTCTTCAGGGGGTGTGGAGGTATCCAAACGAGTCCAGAACCATGGAAAATGAAGAAGAATCAGGTGCTGAGGAGTTGTGAGCACAAGGGCAAAAGAGTGAAAATATAAACTCACCTAGCTTCACAAGGTGTCAACTGTTTTTAAACAGCTTTAAGGGGCATATTCATGGAGTATGGGGGTATCCGAACAAGCCTGGGACCACAGAAAACGGACCAGATTGAGGTACTAAGGAGTTATGAGCATGAGGGCAAAAGAGCAAAAATACAAACTTACCTAGCTCCACGAGACCTTAACCGTTTTATAAGCAGTTTTGGGGAGCATCTTCACGGAGTGTGGGGCTATGTGAACGAGCCCTCGACCACAGAGAATGGAGCAGATTGAGGTCCTGGGGAGTTGTAAGCATAAGGGCAAAAGAACGAAAATGCAAACTGACCTAGCTCCACGAGACCTTGACCGTTTCGTAAGTGGTTTTGGGGAGCGTCTTCACGGAGTGTGGGGCTATCCGAACGAGCCCTCGACCACAGAAAACGAAGCAGATTGAGGTCCTGGGGAGTTGTGAGCATAAGGGCAAAAGAACGAAAATGCAAACTCACCTAGCTCCACGAGACCTTAACTGTTTTATAAGCGGTTTTGGGGAGCATCTTCACGGAGTGTGGGGCTATCCGAACGAGCCCTTGACCACAGAAAACAAAGCAGATTGAGGTCCTGGGGAGTTGTGAGCATAAGGGCAAAAGAACGAAAATGCAAACTCACCTAGCTCCATGAGACCTTGACCGTTTCGTAAACGGTTTTGGGGAGCGTCTTCACGGAGCGTGGGGGTATCCGAACGAGCCCTCGACCACAGAAAACGGAGCAGATTGAGGTCCTGGGCAGTTGTGAGCATAAGGGCAAAAGAACGAAAATGCAAACTGACCTAGCTCCACGAGACCTTGACCGTTTCGTAAATGGTTTTGGGGAGCGTCTTCACGGAGCGTGGGGGTATCCGAACGAGCCCTCGACCACAGAAAATGAAGCAGATTGAGGTCCTGGGGAGTTGTGAGCATAAGGGCAAAAGAACGAAAATGCAAACTCACCTAGCTCCATGAGACCTTGACCGTTTCGTAAACGGTTTTGGGGAGCGTCTTCACGGAGCGTGGGGGTATCCGAACGAGCCCTCGACCACAGAAAACGGAGCAGATTGAGGTCCTGGGCAGTTGTGAGCACAGGGCAAAAGAACGAAAATGCAAACTGACCTAGCTCCACGAGACCTTGACCATTTCGTAAACGGTTTTGGGGAACGTCTTCACGGAGCGTGGGGCTATCCGAACGAGCCCTCGACAACAGGAAACGGAGCAGATTAAGGTCCTGGGGAGTTGTGAGCATAAGCCTGTGAAAGCAGCTGAAAGCGGTTTTGTGATTCTACTGATGAGGGCAAAAGAGCGAAAATGGAAACTGACCTAGCTCCACGAGACCTCAACCGTTTCGTAAACGGTTTTGGGGAGCATCTTCACGGAGTGTGGGACTATCTGAACGAGTTCAAGATCATGAAAATCGAAGGGGTATTGACAGAGAACTTTCATTGTGTTTGGACTAGCCAAGACAGCAATGTACCATTCCACCAATAAACTGAATTACACACAGCCACATGAGCAGGTTAGAAAAATGATGACGCACGAACATTTCCCGATCATTTGATGGGGGAAAGTTTCATGTGTCATAGGAATCTGTGATGTGTCAAAAGAATAAGATCCGATAACTGAGATCTAAAACTTTAATCTATGTGTTCTGATCTGTTTTGATGGTATCACCATATATAGACCACTGCCTGATTACACGTTCTTTGAGTTTATGAAGAGACTCACTTTGACGTGGCACTTGAATTGTTTGGACTGGCTAAGACAACAATGAGCGTGCAAAGAAAACAGACAAGATGTGGTAGATAGATACATTGCACAAATCATTTGGACTGGCCAAGACGACGAAGAGTGCAAGACAACAAAGTGCACAGCAGACCACCTGCTTTGGATGTGGCATTATGTGTGTTGCATTTGGATTGACCAAGATGATGACAATGCTAATGTGGCATCACAGAATGCTCTGTGTTGTGTTTGGATTAACCAAGACGATGACAACACTGTGGATGTGGCATCACAGAATGCTCTGTGTCATGTTTGGATTGACCAAGACGATGACAACAGAGTTTGTACTTAGCAAGCAGAAGTTGACATTGAGTTTTCGGAAGTATCTGAAAATGATGTACTTCCCTTGCGGGCTACCTTTGATTTTGAAGGTAGCCTGCAACGGAAGTACATCATTTTCGGATATTTCCGAATTGTCACGTTTCCTGTGTCCTCTTCTGCAAAGACTGTCCCTTCTACTTTTGGCATCTGCTTGTCGTCATCTTGGCCAGTCCAAATGCTTTGAGTGTGTTGTTACAAGTTCTCTGAGTTTACAAAGAGAATGCATATTAGGTTTGGGCTAGCCAAGACCATGCTGACACCAACAGTCAATAACAGGACACGTATTCTCTCTAAAGAATACACCTTCTAGTTCATTGGGTTTGGACTGGCCAAGACCACAATGAAGGCAACAGTTAACAGGACACGTATACAGATGCAACTCGATAAACACTATTTGCGGTGGATTGGACAGACTATTTATCTGTATTTACCTATAGCTATTCTCATTTCACAATAATCCTAGAAATAAGGAGTGCATACTGCAAAAAATACTGTGTCATTTGGACCAGAATTGGTAGAGCTACATAGAAATCTTCATTTTCGCAAAAATGATGACTAATCAAGTTACTTTCCTAAGTATTGGAAATAGCCGAAAATGATGTACTTCCCTTGCAGGCTACCTTCAAAATCAAAGGTAGCCCGCAAGGGAAGTATGTCATTTTCGGAGATTTCCGATGCTTACAAATCCAGCCTATACACATTATATTAGCTGTAAAGGGCTTGCTGCTTGCAATGAGCTTAGGGTGTTGCTCACTGTTGGTGGCGACATCGGAGGTGGCTTTCAGGGTCCAGGGCACATTTCTAAATAAGGAAATGTGCGCTTTTTCAGATGTAAAATTACCTTGCTTGTCAAGGTCTATTACCACGGTCATAATTATGTAAGCCATCGTGCTGTCCCCCAAGGTCATATATCGTTTTTATTTCAGCCGAAGCGTTAGAGACCGCTCTAGACTGCTGCCAAACCCAACCAAGCAAATCCATCATACTAGCCCCCAAGGTCATATATCGTTTTTATTTCAGCCGAAGCGTTAGAGACCGCTCTAGACTGTTACCCTGCTTGTCAAGGTCTATTTCCACAGTCATAATTATGTAAGCCATCGTACTGTCCCCCCAAGGTCATATATCACTTTTATTTCAGCCGAAGCGTTAGAGACCGCTCTAGACTGGCTGCCAAACCCAACCAAGCAAATCCGACGTACTGGCCCCCAAGGTCATATATCACTTTTTATTTCAGCCAAAGCATTAGAGACCGCTCTAGACCGCTGCCAAACCCAACAGCGAAAATTTGTCATCCCCAGTTCAGAGATTTCCAGGAGATTTCTTACTCAATCTACTGTCTTCAACTTATACAATTCTACTTACTAGTAACAATACTGACCAAAAGATGTTAGATTCCCACTACATAAGTAGTGGGTCACACTTTTTGTAATTTCATGGCTGCAAGGAGTGAACCGTGCAAGCGGTTCGGCGACGAGCAGCCAATAAAAGGTCACAAACTTACTCTCATTTTTAATCACCATAGCTGGCTTCAAAGCGCCCACAGGGGTGCTACAGTGATTATCATTTTTTATTCTGCATGAAATATAAGCAAGGTTTTTGTTGACATTGGAACAATGTCAAACTCTAGTAGCAATAAAATAGCAGAAAAATCAGAAAATCAGAAAAAATTGGGGGGTGGTGCTTACTGTTGGTAATGATGTTGGAGGTTGTTTTCAGGGTCCAGGGCACATTTCCAAATATGGTAATATAGCCAAAAATAGCCAGAAAATAGCAGAAAAATCAGAAAAAATTGTGGGTGGTGCTTACTGTTGGTGATGATGTTGGAGGTCATTTTCAGGGTCCAGGGTACATTTCTAAATAAGGAGATGTGCACTTTTTCAAAGGTAAAATGGTTATGAAATAGCACAAAAATCAGGAAAATTTGGGGGGTGGTGCTTACTGTTGGCAATGATGTTGGAGGTTGTTTCAGGGTCCAGGGCACATTTCCAAATATGGTAATATAGCCAAAAATAGCCAGAAAATAGCCAGAAAATCAGAAAAACATGGAGGATAGTGGTGATACCCTTGGGTAATCTTGTCAGGGTCCAGACTCTTGTTCCAAATTGAGTAATATAGACCTAAAAAGAGCCAGAAAATGGCTAGAAAATCAGAAAAAATGGGGGATGGTGCCCATCGCAGTGATAACATTGGTTAATGTTGTCAGGGTCAAGGGTCCAGTTCTGAATATGGTAATATATCCAAAAGTAGCCAGAAAATAGCTAGAAAATCAGAAAAAAATGGAGGATGATGCTTATTGCTAGCGATAACATTGAGTAACATTGTCAGGGTCCAGATTTTAGTTCCAAATAAAGTAATATGGTCAAGAATAGGAAAAAAATGGGGAATGGTGCTTATTGCTAGTGATAACATTGGGTAACATTGTCAGGGTCCAGAGTCTATTTCCAAATATGGTAACATAACAAAAAATAGCCAGAAAATAGGCAAAAAATCAGAAGAAAATGATGGATGGCCATTGCTGTGATAATGTTTGGTAACATTGTCAGGGTCAAGGGTACAATTCCAAATATGGTAATAGATCCAAAAATTGCTGGAAAATAGTGGAAAAACTGAAAAAAAGTTTGAATGGTATATAGAATGTCAGGCACTACCTTCAGAGTCCATACCAAAAAGAAAATATCATCCACTTTGACCAAAAACTGGAGAAAACCAAGTGAAGAATAATTTTATCTATTAGGGCCCATGTAATGGGATGATGGTCACATGACCAGTTACCAAAAATAGTCAAAAAATGGAAGTTGTAGCTCTACACTGTAAAGTGCTCCTGTTGTAAAGATAATCCAACTTTGTAGTCAATATCTGACATTTGCAGTCTGTTATTGTGAAGCGTTCACTCTGAACTTCTTGCATAGCTGAAGCCAAGAGGGAAGGAGGAGGCAAGAATGGGTGGATCTGGGATCAACACCCATAAGTGAGCAATGAGCAGTTACAAGATACTCAGCTAGCCCAACATGATTATGCATACTGTAGGAAGTTACAAGTCCTCTGAGTTTACGAAGAGACTCGTTTATTACCCCGGAACTTGAGGATTTTTTCAGTAGCACTAACACAGAATTTAGCCTTTCTCCCATGAAAATTGATGGTTTCCCATGGTCAGGGATTTTGTAGTCTTTATCCAGAGTTTGTAGTCTTCCGTTAGCATTTTTGTAGTCAACACTACAATGTCTTACTGACTGTGTGAACTGTCTGGTTATGGCGCGGATTCTCACTCAAAATGGTCATCACCAGTTAAAGGCACTTTATATACCCAACATAAGTCATATTATTTTGAATGAGTATCTATATCAACATCGACAAGGATGGTGATGGTCCTCATTCCCACAAATGATTCTTCCTTAATTATATATACCAAATGCTTTTATAATCATTTCATCTGGCACTCATGGTATATGAACTGCAACCGGCCCACCAAATACACAATGATGCAACATGTGGGCTGGTCAAGTTGACAAGGCATTTTGTGTGTTCCTACCTCAAGTGTGTTATAGGTGGTATCAGATGTGAGCATGAATTTGTTATCTAAAAAACCCCAAGAAGAAGGGAAACAAATGATGATCGTACTTTGCCAAAACCTTGCAGGAGGTTTCAGTGGTTCCTATTGTCACATGTCATTCTGTTTGGAAATGACATTGATCACAAATATTTATAGTTGTACATCAGATTTTTCAAATGCCTCTTGTGCATCATCGTTTTGGGTGGTGGGGTATATGCCACTTGTGTCAGAGGCCGTTGCAAGCACGGCAGATACGAGTCCTCTCCTTTTATTAGCCAATTTTATTTAAGCAGTCAATGCAAATTATAAATGTTTACATTACTTTATATAGCTTTAAAAATTCAAACATTTTCTAATATATATATAGTATTTTTTTGAATCTGTTATGTCCTTATTGTTTTAATATATTTTGTAATATTTTATTTTTATCTGGCTAGCTCATATAATTTTAAGAAGGTAACTTGACCAAAAGATATTTTTAATTCATCATATAATAAATAAAATATTTCAACAATTATTTCTTTGAATAAATTACTGTGACTGCTTGTCTTTCAAAAAATGCTCCATTTGAATTTTTTTCTCTGCAAGATTTGAGTGCATCCTCTGTGAACTCATTAAGATGGCCCTTTTTGATGCAATTTCTTCTTGTTGTCATACCATCATGATACCACACCTCTTTTCCAGGAGTGATCACATAAGCAGTGAAATGAAAGCCACCAGAATAAATAATACCTCTTAATGGTAGAATTGTAGATCTTCCATTTATTCCCTTGATATGAATAGACTTGCTTATTGCTACTCTTGAAGTATTTAAACTGAATGCAAGTATTGAAGGGGGCTGATCATATATCCTTTTGATAATTGTGGGAGAGCCACAGTCACATATACTAGGTTCCTCTAGCCAATGCTGTAACCAATCATTGATTGATTTGTAAGTTCCATCTAAAACTGACATAACTCTTTCTGGAGGATTATCCATATCATGATTGTTGTTGCATCCAATGCATGATGACCTTCTGTAACCCAAAGAGACACTATGATCTGATGTGAAGAAATAGTAAAGTAGATCACGAATGTCAGTTCCAGTAGCTCCATCTGGAAATAATACTGGGTTATCATGTTTGAGTGATCTACAAACTTCATTTCGAATATTTTCTAGAGTATCTACACTTCTAATAACTTTTTTGTATCCATCTGCTAACAGTTTGCCCTGATTACTAAATGTATAAAATGCTTTTGTCCAGTTTCTTGGATTGTAAATGCAGATCTCACATAAAATTGTAAAAAGTGAGTCATATGAACAGCTGTAATCAACAGAGTCCCAAACAAGTCCAATGGGAACTTCAGGTGTAGGGCCAAAACTAGTTCTAACTTTTTTCTTTTTTGGCTCCTCAATTTCTGGATCATCAGCAGACTTTCTCTTCAAGTTAGTCTTAATCATATTAGATCCTTGGGCAGGAATAAAAGATCCACATAATTTTTTGTTTATTTTATTTGTTTCAGTATTCACTTCATTAGTCAATTTGTCAGATAACAAACCATCCTTAGATGATTTATTAATAACTTGCCATGAACTGTCAGTTATAACTTGAAAAGTTTGCATAGGATATACCTCACTCCATCTGATGGGTCCCATTACATTCTCTGGGCAGTATTCTCTTCCTTTAAGTTGTTGATATTGACGTAAAATAGCATTACATAGTTTTCCATTAATTGATCCAGGTAGATTGCCTGTATAGCGACACTTCAGTCACCCACCTTGAACAAGCTATTAGCTAGGAAATCTTGAAAAATTATCCAGGCTAATAGATCCTCTGGCCGTTTTTTTTTTGGCCTTTGGAAAGAAATATATTATTGGATTTGATAGAAAATGTTTGACCTCTAATATTGTGACCAGAAATATTTGGGTAGATAAATTGTGTTCAAAAATATCCTAGTCAAGTGAAAGTGGTCAGAAATGTTTGAAGGGTGTCAGACTGGTAAGAAATTTTTGAAGTGTGTCAGACTGGTAAGAAATGTTTAAGCCAAGTCAAACTGGCCAGAAATATTTGAGGTGTGCCAGAGTGACTAGAAATTTTTCAGTGGTGTGACAGTGCTTGGATATACTCTAGCCATGTCACACTGCTCAAAAATCTTTTAGCCTTGTCACATGGCTAGAAAATTTCCTACCAGTGTCACGGAGTATCTGGGGTCCCAGTTTCAAAAAAAAAACTTGGTTTTTCTGGGGCAGTTCTCTCAAAATTTTGCACATTGCTTTTTTCTTTTGTTTCTTATTGAAGTTACCATCCAAAATCATATATTTCAACACTTTATAATGCATAACTCCTCTGAAAGTGGTACTTGTCACTATTTACATACACTTTTGTCCTATCAATAGTCAAAACAATGAGTCTGTATAGCTATTTCGAAACTCATCAGATAAAGCTACCATCTCAACAGCCTCCAATAACTCTGTCTCTTCACCCTCTTCTTCATCACCCTCATCATCCTCATCATCTTCCTCCTCTTCATTGTCATCATCATATATCTCTCTTTCATTCTCAGCAACCATGGCAGTCATTTCAAATTTACATGCCTCCATAAGATCTTCCAATGATGGTCCCCATGAATCTGGCATAGGTTTGTGAGGATCAATCATACGTGTTTTGTCTTGCCAGTTGTTGCATAAGCGTGCTAAAAATTCATTCTTCTCCATAGCCATTGTTACACATTTCCACTCCTCAATGAGCCAATCTTGCATGGCACTTCTCTCATATGATAGTCTTCTTTCTTCCTCATTACATCTATCCAACTCAAGCATGGATTTTATTCCCTTTCGAACATTTTCATCACCCAACCAATTGGGGATTTCTCCTCCAGGTAAAAGATCAGTCTCATCTAGGCCCACATCTTGCCATATGTCATCATCAACATCCAGCTTGAACAATCCATCACTAGCAATAGGAT